CTCGCGAGGCTGCTGTCTGCCTGACACTGCTCTAATGGAAAACACGATGGTGAACCTGGGCGTATGAGCAACTTTAGTTCAATGACAGAGGTGGAATTTTTTGTACAATCGCTGGAAATAAAGATATGTACTGACTAATAATATACTTCATTGGCTTTATTCGCTTTAAAATATTTCTATAATACCTACGAACAGATAAGCTGAAAAAACGCCAGCACTAATTAACCAAATTCATTACCTTTTATGGGCTTTCTGTACATAGTATTTGTCAAATTATATTTGAAATATATGCACGTTGTATTTACAGACATACTTTTGTACATATAGTACTTGCATGGATATTGTTAAGCTCTTGAGTGTAATTAAATCAACTGTTAAAATAGTAGGCTCACAAAAAAAGTTGGCAAATAACTATTATTTACCGCCTTCTGGGAGACAAGTCGTGAAGGCATGACCATACATATATGTATGTATGTATGTATGTACATATCTAAATACCAACATCGGCTGGCAATAATGTATTTAGATAGTTAGAACTAGAACTTTCTTGTCACTGTTAATTCCCTTTTTAAATTAATGCTCGACGCACCCAATTTTTGTGCGCGTTAATTACCAAAAATTTGAGTAACGTTCTAGTTTTTGCAATTTGGATTACTTAATTACTAAAAAATAAAGTGGTTGTCAAAATTAACATTTTATTATTAGTTATGAACTCGAAACGCTAAGACTTCTATTTCACTGCACACACACACACACATAAATGCAATGATAAATCAGCGAAATTATTTTGACCTTTTTGCGGCCGCAATAAATTCTCCTGAGTCTTGTTGAGTGAGTACTTATTTTTTCCCCCTTTTGTTACTCTTCTATGCCTTATAGTGAATTATGAACAAAAGTGTAATTTAATGCTTATTATGAGTATTAGAAAAAGTGAACTACACTAATTGCAACTATTTAGTTTTTTTTTTCAAATGTCTTTTTGCTCGTTTATGCATTTAATATACTTAAAAAAAAAATTGTTTCATTCCATCCACTTTTAGTACTTTCAGCGTTACTCTATTTCATTTAATTGAGTGCTTAGGGAGCGCTTTTCCCGACCATTGCATTTATCCGCTTTTTTTCTGATTATTACTTTTGCTGTAATCATTTTATGTATTATTTTTATTTTTTTTCGTTTCAACCATGCCATGAGTATTATACTTCATTTGCTGAAAGTGCTTTTTTTCTGCAATCAACTTTGTAGGCTGCCAACCACTAAACCAGAAATACATATCTACTAGCAATATTTATTTATGTATTTATGTGCGTACGGGTACACGTACATTCACACAAAAATTCATATAAATTTATGTATGTAATAATCTGCTTTCCTTTGCGTCATTTACTGATTCCTCAGTCTGATTATTATTAATATTTTTTTTTTTTTTGCAAACCTTTTTAATCGTTGCCGCACGGGCAAACAGGTGGCGCAAATATCCAACATTTTATAGAAGCGCTCGCTGAGGGCCGTTTATATGTGGCAACTTCTCGTTTATTATTTTTTTATTTATTCACGGCTTTTAGTCTATTCAATCTGCATATCTCATGGCACACTTTTTATAATCATTATGGTTAATGAACTAAGCAACTCAAGCCTTTATTAGTTCAATGCTTTATTGGCTACTCATGAAATGAAAGAGCAATGAATGGTTTTTTTATTTTGTTTGTAGTACGGTTGAGTACGCCATTAAATATGCTACATTAACTGTGCTCAAAAGTAGTTATTTAATTAAAAATATTCAAATACGAATCAAAGGATAACAATTTCTTGTGGAAATGCGAAAAAAATATTATTAAAATTAAAAAAAAACACAAGAAGGTTGTATAATTGACAAACATTTTATTGCGAAATTGGGCTTTTAAAATACCTGCCTCATGATGTTTCTAAAACTGGTCATTAATGGCAGACATTTTTTGTCAATGCCAAAGAATTTGTTTTAATTAGAAATACCATCTGGAAACAACTTTAATGAATATTTTTAGAAATTTAATCACGCCGGTATTTTTTTAATGTCCAATTTTGCCATTTAATGTCCAATTGAAAGCTTAAATTTTCCTAATACCATTCTCTTGTAAAGCACCGTATACTATTCTGTAGATCAGAGCAAGCTTTATTCAAGAAGAAGTTATCATATTTGTTTTGAATTCATAAGTTTTGATATTTAAAATTTTCAGTGACCGTTACGGTTATAACTTTTATTATAAAAACCACTTTTTAATCGTTATTAACTGAGTTTTATTTTTCCTTAGCAGTGGCACCGTGTTGCTTCTTTGCAAATTTACTTGGAAAAAGCGTAGCTTTGCTGTGAAATAAAAGTATAAGCTTTTGTGCAATATGTTTATTTTTATATGCATATAGAGCACATTTAACTAATGAAAATATAAATTGTATTAAAATTGGATGGTTACATAAATCGCATAGTCGTTTTATTTTAATTTTGAGTCCTTTTGCAGTTTTTATGCAGCTAAATAGCACATAAATTACGTAACTCACGTAGATATATTAATATTTCGTTCAGTATTTCGTTTAAACTGCCAGATTTCCTGCAAATACATTAGAATTTACAAAAGGAATTTCAGTACTAATTGCCTACTCTGCGTACTTTTCTACTACCATTTTCGCAACAAGGGATTGCATTCTTCCACTTTCTCTATCCTTCGTAAATGCAACCTTTTGTAAGGGGCGGGTGTCAAACCGCAGCTGTCAATAATTATCTAACCTTTTATTAGTGAATCATGATGCTCATTAGACGAAACTACGCCAAAAAACTTATTGCTAGTTGTAAGAAGGGTTGTATCTTCAACTTGAGAAACTCAAAATGAGAAGACTACCACGAGTATATTGTAAAAGTAAAGAAGTTCGCAAAGTTTTGAAGGGAAGGAGATAACTTCAAAGGTACGCTTTGCAATTCAGCTCGTTCCGGTAGCTATTCACAGCAGTGCGCTTGACCTAAATCCAAGTCGAAAATAACCAGTAAATAACACTCGTGCTTCAAAATTGGTCAGATATTTACATCATATTTCTCCGATTAGTAATGTGTGTAACAAATTTTGCGGGGGTAAAAATCGCGAGCATACAAATAGTACAAAGTTATGGACAAATATTCTACAAATTCTTTGGCGTTACTATTGAATATTTATGTGCTGCTTTCCCAAAAGGTAAAAAAAATATACGCTGTTTCAGGGCTAATAAATCTAGGATAATTGAAAAAGTTTTTAGAGGCTTTGGTGGGAAATTGGAAAAATTATTTTTTTGCCCCGTACTCAGCTGCCATAAATATGGTCAGCGTAATAATTAGGTGGCGCAAAAGCTTGCATAAAAGTTGCTTCGTACTCTCCAACACGGACATGTTGCTACAGCCAAATATAGTAAGTCACCAATCAAACTTTGGTATGGAAATTTTTTCATATCAAAGTTTGAATTCTAGTAGAGTTTTTTCTGGTTTTCAGTCCTAAATTTGAAGAAGTTTTGAACTTTATTCTACATAACTACTCACGTTGGTTTAAAAATGTCTTGTGCTTTCTTAGATCTTGTCGAAACTCTATACCCAAACCATATCCTACATTCTTTATCTCAAAGCTTTCAGCGAGAGACTGTTCGATTTAAATTAATTGCGACTGATCATTCGTAGCTATTAATAAATCGTGCACATAAACAGCAATCATCGTGGTGCTCGAAATCTTATGCATAATAAAAGGCATGTGAAATCCCATTTGGTATAGTTTAGTGCTTACTTCTGGTACCACCGAAAGCCACATTGTCGTAAGCCATCAAGCGATTTTCGAAGTTTGCATATTGGGGTCTTGTTTTGGGATAAAGCTGTCGGCCATTTTTCTGCTTTAGCTCGAATCTTACTTGCTTCTGAATCAGCTATGTCCAGAGTCTTTCCGGAGGTGAGGATCACTTTTGTATATTTACTGGGATTAGAGATCGAACCTTTGCCCTACGGAGTGCTATTACGAACCTGTAACCAATTAGCTAAAGCGGCCCCTTAGGCCTTAAACTTTATAATTTTCTTTGCCCTACTAACCGATTAACTTCAGCTACTTCCTCTCAAACCCAACCTCAGCGAATGGCCTCTGAGCAACACCAATTTGCCTATCAACCAGGCACATCCATTGAAACTGCCATTCATAGACCACTTCATGAATGGAAATTCTCTGGCACTTAGTGCCTTCATGGACAAGTCAGGGTCTACCGACCATTCCTCGGATAGGGCGATGAAATATGCCAAGCGTGGTGTAATCATCATCACAAACAACCAATGAAGATGCAGCTTTAAAGCACAACAAAATCAATTACATCCACAAAAAATTTCCACCAAAGAGATATATATATTGTCCCTATTCTATATATGAACTCGTCTATATACTCACAATCAGTGGTAACACAATTGTTAAGCGAACACTTGGCTGTGATATCCTAGCTCGGTGGACTACAGTTAAGGAAAGAACTGAATGGCCAAACTTAACTAGTAAATTGCACCGAATGATTGCCTTCTAAAAGCCCTTCTAAAGCACTCATAGTTTAATATATTTAATATGAGAGCGAGTCTACCATACGACATTGATAAGGTCTATATCAGTGATGGGCAGCACAGGCAGAACCCCATAAGCAAGTGCAACATGTTTGCACATGCTTATGGAATTCTGCCGTATACTAAACCTAGTATAAATGTTGCATATACAGATGGATGAAAACTTAAAGACAGATAAACTGGGGTTAATTTCCAAGCAGAAATTCTCGGACAGTCAGGTCGCTTTACTGACTTTGTATTATCACATAATTTTATCAACAAATGGTTCTCAAGTATACAAGCTGTTTCACTTAATATCCCACGTAAATGCCAAGCTTTATAAATTGGCCTCTAGCCTAAGCATAACCTAAGTATAAATTTACAAATTTTACATCAGCAATTTTAACACCTTCCATCTTTTCCGCTTTTTTTTCTTTCTTCCAGCAGGAAATGCTTTCATGCTGCCTACTACTATTTAGACGATCCACCACATCATCCAAATTTGCCACAAGTCGACTGGGAAGCACCCGTCGAAGTAGCTGGCGAAATACGCGCCGCCGTACCAGTCAATGAGTTCGCCAAACATGTTGCCTCCTTGCATGCTGATGGCGATATTGGTTTCAGTCGCGAGTATGAAGCTATTCAAAACGAATCAATCGATGATTTACCCTGCGAACATTCCCAGCACCCAGAGAATAAGCGCAAAAATCGCTATCTCAATATCACAGCCTGTAAGTACTGCATACGGACAAATTTTAGTACGAAATAGCTTTTGCAAAAATGAATTAAAACTATTAAATTTCCACACAGATGATCACAGCCGCGTACATTTGCATCCCACACCGGGACAAAAGAAGAACCTCGACTACATTAATGCCAATTTCATTGATGGCTATCAGAAATCGCGCGCCTTCGTCGGCACGCAAGGTCCACTGCCAGACACCTTCGATTGCTTCTGGCGCATGATTTGGGAGCAACGCGTGTCTATAATTGTGATGATTACGAATTTGGTGGAACGCGGTCGACGGAAATGCGATATGTATTGGCCAAAAGATGGCGTCGAAACGTATGGGGTAATACAAGTGAAAATGGTCGATGAGGAAGTAATGTCCACCTACACAGTGCGCACACTGCAAATCAAGCACTTGAAGGTAAAACAGGTATGCGCGAACCGTAGAAGATATTTATAACTTATTTTGTTTTAATATCTTATAGCTAAAGAAAAAGAAGCAGTGTCAGACTGAGAAGATTGTATATCAATATCACTACACCAATTGGCCGGATCATGGTACACCCGATCATCCTCTGCCGGTGTTGGACTTTGTGAAGAAGTCCTCAGCAGCTAATCCCGACGATGCGGGCCCCATTGTGGTGCACTGCAGGTATGTTAGGGCGCTTGTTTGTTCCCATTTTGTTTTTTTTTTTTTGCTTTAAGTCAACTCATCTGATTGCCTGCTGTTTTTTTTTTGTGTGCAACCGTACAGCGCCGGCGTTGGACGCACAGGCACCTATATCGTGCTAGATGCCATGCTCAAGCAGATCCAACAGAAATTGGTCGTAAACGTATTCGGTTTCCTACGACACATACGCATTCAGCGTAATTTCCTCGTACAGACCGAGGAGCAGTACATTTTCATACACGACGCCTTGGTCGAAGCGATCGCCTCGGGCGAAACGAATTTGCGCACCGAACAAATTGAGGAACTGAAGAACTGCACACCCTATCTGGAGCAGCAGTACAAGAATATTATACAATTCCAAACGAAAGACATACATATTGCATCTGCAATGAAGCAGGTGAATTCGGTGAAGAATCGTGGTGCCATATTTCCGATTGAGAGCAGTCGCGTACACTTGACACCCAAGCCGGGTGAGGAGGGTAGCGACTACATAAATGCGTCGTGGTTGCATGGCTTTCGACGATTGCGGGACTTTATTGTCACCCAGCATCCGATGTCGCACACCGTGAAAGACTTCTGGCAAATGGTTTGGGACCATAATGCGCAGACCATTGTGCTGCTGTCGTCGCTGGACGAAATTGTAAGTTGGGAATGGGAAATTTTTGTACTTTTCTAGGGTTTTGGAATTTAGTCTTATTTAAATTAAGCCAGACAATAGGCGAAGGATATCTCAGATTACTCAACAAAATGTTAATTAAACTTTTTTTTTGTGAGTTGATTATCGAATTCCGTGCTTAAATGACTTTTCCCTACTTTGTTTGGAGAAATGCGCTTTTTCCTTTTACATCGCTGCATTATTTAATTGACTGCATATGTATGCCGATCCCTTTAGATCACATTAAAATTAAGTCTTACTGCAACATCACTTACATTGTACTTGTAGTTTAACATAAAAGTTCCACATTCTAACACACATATTTTGACACTATTTTACTCACGTACGTACTTAGTATATATCTACATGTGTATTTGCACATCTCTCTCCCTCTCTCTCTCTCTCTGTGCAGAATTTCGCACAATTTTGGCCAGATGACTCGACACCCATCGAAAGCGATTACTATCGCGTCAAATTCCTACGTAAAACGAACAAAAGCGATTATGTTAGTCGTGATTTTGTCATTCAATCGATACAGGACGATTACGAGCTAAATGTGAAAATGCTACATTGTCCCAGTTGGCCGGAGATGTCCAATCCAAAGAGTATTTACGATTTTATTGTCGACGTGCACGAGCGATGCGCTGATTATCGCAATGGACCAATTGTCGTTGTGGATAGGTAAGTTTCATATATATATGTTTGGAAAGTTTTTTTGCTCGCATACAAGCATGCGCTGTATGAATGTGCGCTTAGAAATTAAAATTTAACGCCGAATTTGACCGCAAAACTGAAAAAAATACACTACTCGAATATGATTTCGCTTGGAACGGTCGGTTGTTAGCCACCCTAGCAATCACTGAGATAAATAAGGGGTGAGTTCTATTGATACAAGGTAAACCAGCGAACCTAGGGAAATCAGGTATCCATCGCTCCCTTCCTCAATGGTGAAGACAGCCCAGGCCATGGTACTCCTTAGTGGACTAGGTGCAGTCATATCTGTCGATGACCCATAAATTTGAACGTTACCATCGACAGCTGTGTCTCCTTATTTGCGCAAAGAGCCTCAATCATCAACTAAGTTTAGATTCTCAAAATCCACTTTCGACAGCATTTAGGGTAAATACAAAAAGAAATATAGGCAGTATATGACGCGCTAGGCTGGGCAGTTCTACATAATGCTGCAGCTTTGTCTTCTCCAGCGGTTAGTAGGGCACAGTTGAATAAGCACCAGATCTGTCAGTGGAAATAAATAAGTACAACAATAACCCCCAGAAATCAATTCCTGCTGGGTTTCTACCGCAACGATGACTTTACTAAGTAATAACTTTAAGCTGTGCCGACCTCTAACCTATCAGAAGGCATACCAAATATATCAACGACCTGGTTCGAACAATGGAACTTAAATGGCATTTAGCGAGATGCACGCAAGACCTTGAAACTTTATGACCTACAAATGTTGTCTTCGAAGACCACCATCGTGGACGAAGAGTTTAAGTTGGCTCTATAAGAAACCTCATTCTTCCTCAGCCTTGATACACCTAACGTACGTCTAATATGCGAAGTAAATCGCTTTGGAAGCGTATAAGATGTTCATCTAGCACAGCACTAATTGTGTGTCAAACTTAAAGTAAATCCATTTGCATATTTTTGATTCTGAGTCCCTGAGTCCCTGTTGTCACATGTAATACCATAAGGTTTAGCGCAAAAGGTAGTGTGCCGAGAACGAGGCTTTACAACGGGCTTATGTCTATTCGGAGAGCTTCTTAGAGCTGTTAAAAAGAATGCGATCCAAGTTGCTAGACCGCATCGGGCAGTGTCATGTCAACCAACTCACCGGGGTTGAAAGTTGTGGCTTAATGAGCGTAAGGAGATATGTTTAAGTCATTCGTTCCTTGGCCCCTTGCGTTGGCACATGTCCTGATGCTCGCCAAGCTGTCGCTCAACTGCCATTAGGGTAATCTATTGAAAAGTATGGCAGCTATCTTTGCTGGGAAAACTACTGCAGTTTAAAAGTCTAAAAGTTTTATTATTCGTCTGTAGATAACATCGACTCTGATTGCAATTTTATTACTCTATTGGCGGTAGCCATCCAATGGCTCAACACCCCCAAATCTTTCTGCAGCAGGCAAGGCGGCGGTTATCTACCCTGGCGATCATACATCGCCCAATCGTAGGTTAATCCTAACTCAGGATAATTAAATGAGTGTTCAAAAGCAGTCTAAGATACACATCACTTGTTTATTGCAGAACAAGCATTTCCTAGTCCAACTAAAGTACGCCTTCTCCTTTGTGCATATTAAAGACGCGTGTGCTTGGCAACCACGTTCGAAGAGGACTGTTGTCCTTAGAGGTAGCCTTCCCCTTGCCTTTATGATATATAAGGTAAATTATTTTGCACGCAGAACCTAAAAGTTCATCTAACCGACAAAACCAAAGTTTATTTCGGGTGTAGAACGGTGAGCTGAGTGCATGTTCCTGCAGTAGAGGTACCAATTGACACTCCTCAGCTTTCAGGGTGGATAAGCAAGTGTTTATAAATATATATTATCTGTAAAAAAGTGAGTGCTCAATATAATAGGGAGTGTTGTTTTTTCTATCCTTACAACTTTCGGTTTATCAGTTTGGAACAACACAATAACATTGTCTCTCCCTCTCTCTCCCACACACAGATACGGCGGTGCCCAAGCATGCACCTTCTGTGCCATATCGTCATTGGCGATGGAAATGGAGTACTGCAACACGGCGAGCATCTATCAGTACGCCAAGCTGTATCACAATAAACGTCCGGGCGTCTGGACCTCCAGCGAAGATATACGTCTGATCTATAATATACTCTCGTTTTTGCCGCGCAACCTGCAGCTACTCGAACGCACAGCGTTGCGCACCGAATTCGAGGATGTGACAACGGCGACACCGGATCTCTACAGTAAAATCTGTAGCAATGGTAATATAAATGCGCAGCAAAATTGTAATAATTTAGTAAATCACAATAATAGTAGTAGCGTAAATAGTAATAGTATTAGTAGTACAAATGTGGCAAATGTAAATGCAAATTCAAATGCAAACGCTTGCAACAATACCAACAACACCACAAACAATTTGAATACAAATAATACAACAACGACAGCTACTGCTACTTTTGCGAAAACAACAACGACACCACCAACGATGACACCCAATTCGAGTGCAAACAATTTACAATATCAGCCACAGTTATCGCTAGAACAACAACAACAACAACAATATGTATCACAACAATCACAGTCACAGTCGCTCACAACAGCCCAGTCAGCGCCACCACCACCGCCATCAATTCGTTACACACCACCACCACCACCACCACCACCACCATTAAATTCACAGACAACAACACCGACAACACCATCACCAACGTCACCTCAGCTATCATCAGCCATATTTGCATCGCCAAATCAAACAACAGCAACGCTCGATTTGACCACAATGACGACAACCACCAACAACACTAACAATTGTAATGCTAATCGAATTGGTAATGCTAATCAAATTGGAAATTTCGCTAATGCTAATACTACTACTAATGCTACCAACACTACTGCTACTACCACCACAAATACCTCAAACAATCACACTTCTGCAATACCTCATTCCACATCCAACATCCACATGAACTCCAATCCAATTAACAACTATGAACCAACAACACCACCACCACCAACCACAACAACAACAACTACACCCAATTCCATTTCTGCTATTTCCACTAATGGTGAACGGTTTTCTATTGTAAATAATATGCACCTTCACAACCAACAACAACAACAACAACTACAACTACAACAATCGCAACTGTCGTCTTTAACTGACGCTATGGCCGATCTTTATGTTTGTGGCGCGAATGGCATTAATTGCTACCAAACACCGCCACCACCACCGCCGGCCTTCGAAAATGATGCCACTACGGTTGAATCCCACCTACGCCACCACCATCAACTCATGGATCCGATTAATTCCAACGCTGGCGGCATTTCGCCCATCTCTGTCATCGGCCTGGATGATGCGATTGATGGCCTGACACCACTACTACCCCCGCCACCGCCACAATTCCCCGACTCCTATGCGAATAATACTTGCAACATGGGCGATGTGACCGCTGCCACACCATTAACCAAATCCTCCTCCAATAATTCTTTGTCGCCGGCAACCACCACTGCTAACTACAATGGTAATGGTAATGCCAATAATAATGTGCATGGAAATGGTAACGGTTTATTAAATGCCAATACTAATACGATACCAATGACAACAACAACATTGACAACCACTAAAGCAGCGACTGTTACAGATGCTCAAAGTCTAGATATCGTAGGTTAGAATTAAAAATTTAAATTAAAATTAAAAAAATTAAAACAAAATATATATATAAATATTTAATAGCTGTAGCTAAGTACATAGTTATGTAAGTAAAAAGTGAAATTTATAAACATAAATAGACTAACAAATGATTTTTATCATATACATATGTACGTACACAACACAAAACAGGAAGAGCAAAGTATGAAAAAAAAACCGAATGCTCGCAAATGCACACTTTTTTTTTAAGAAAATATGTGTGGAAAAAGTGGTAAAATGGTAGTAATCTATGTCAGCAATTACATTAGGTAGTTGAGCAAGATTTTGCTAACAAATATTTATTTTACATATTTTTAAGATATTCTGTTAATATTTAAGTGGACTGTAAGTTATAAGAATTTTTGTTTTTGCTTTAAAAAATAAATATGTATTATGTCGATAAAAACTATTTATTATATTTTACTGCTAACACTTATGTCTACTATAGATACTTTCATTTATGTAATATAAAGGGTATCCTTCAATTTTTAAAACGTCTTTACGTCTCCCTAGAAGTTGGTTTGTTTAATCGAAACAATTTTGTGAACGCCCAATTTTTTAAACTGTGTTATTCACATAAATAAATGTATGACTTATTTGTTATAACATGTACCATATGCTTTACACTTACATACAAATATACAAACGATATAATATTAAGTTACCACAACAATTTTGTATTACCAATGGAACTACCCTGTATTTCCGTGCACGTTCAGTCTTAATCTTATGAGCACATGTATACCAAGAAAAAATATATGGAAACACAAAAAAAAAAAAAAAAGAATACAAAAATATTTAAATGTTCTATGTATGTACATCACAAGCGCGTTTTAACGCCCATTCATTGTATAGTCATAAATCACAAAATTCACAAAATCGTAAGAAAACTCATCTCATATGTTAAATATATACATTAGTACATACATAATTGCATAAGTGAAAATACAAAGTAAAAACAGAATTATCACAAAAATGCAAAAGCACCTTATTGATTTCTGCGTGTAAAAGTATGTACATATACTCGTAAGTAACTACGAAATACCTATATTTTTTTAGGTCAGTTCTTTTATCTTTCGTCAACTGATTTTAGTAGCATGAAAATGAAGTCTCGAAGTGTTGCTGGTATGTGAGATGTTTTTTTTATTAAAAAAAAAGCCTTCTTAAAGACGGGAAAAAACATTTTAACTAGCTAAATAAAGTCATATATATTAAGCGCCCGGTTTGAAGAAAAAAGTGAGGTTATAAGTAAGTTTGAAACGGCAGGTTGTGTAATAATGTAGGCTTTTTGCAAACAATTTAATTACGATAAATTTTGTTTACATTAGAGCGGGTCGGTACCCATGCAAATAAAGTTTGTGATTACTGTCCGTGGTACTTGGGGAGTATTCTGGCGTCATTTAAAATTTCGTTCGTTACACGTTCCTTCAACATCCAAAATCGAGTTTTCTTCATACAAATGTAGCTTTTGTATTTTTGAAACCTATCCATTTCTTAGAGATCAAGGAAAATTCATCACTTACTAAATTTTTTTTTTTATTTTATGTTACCTAAAGCTGATTTTCGACGGGTAGATGTTAAGATATCTAAGAAGGAGGAAATTTCGGTCGCTATCAGGGGCGGACCCAAAAAAAAATATTTATTATAATAAGTATATTTATTTATTTTATACATCATTTTTAAATAGAAAATTGCATCATTCGTGATTTTTAGGAGCGCCAACCCAACCAATATCTCCTACCCAGTGCTACTGCGCAAATAGGTCTTCAACCTTCGAAGGGTTGAAAATGACCGCTCGCTCGTTGCAAATAAACAAAGATGGTCGGAAAAAAAGACTTTTATCACCTTGATTCAAGGCGTCAATAGAATCCTCAGGCAGCTCTTCTTTTCGTATGTTAAGCCCAGTACCTAAAAGAAAGACGGTCATTAAACATAAATTTTTGGAGAATAAAAAGAGGATACACCTGCGCCACATGATAAATTCGGCAGTGAAATCGTCTGTCGATGTTTGATATTCGCCTGCTCAGTACGTTTCAAAATCTTGTGCCATTTGACAGAAACTACTAGGGCCCAACTTGAGAATTTTCTTTGGCAAGATGTTCTGAATATTTTTTAGTCGTTTTTTTTTGTGATTCACAAATCTCTAGTACGGGAATAATTTTTTTTTTTGCACGATATATGTATGTATTGACTTCCCACTTACCGAGGTACTTCTAAGATGAAACCAACCTTATTTGCTTCCTCCTCAGCTAATTTGAAGATACTTTTAAAGTCGTAAATCGGCTTATTCTGTATACAGATTTTGCCGTTATGAGATTAGTCAATTTTTCTTTTAAATTTTTGGAATGTATATAAGAGAGCAGTTTTCTTAAAATTAATGCCAATTGATCACAAATTAATGGCAAACTTATGATTTTGTTGAGTTTGTTAACCGATTTTGGATTATATCAGCTTATCTTATATTCATAATTAATGTTTTGGTAAAAAAATCGAATCCATTATAGAAAAAAATATTTTTCGATATTTCCGCTAGAAACTGCTCCTTCGTTAAGGACTTTTATACGTTAAAGGAACCCTACATGGAAAAGCCTCAATAGGTCGCATACTTTTAAATTACTACAACTTATGTATAGGGGCCCATGATTTTTCAGTACGGGCCCCGAATTTTCCTTCGATGGCCCTGAATATATGGTCCTGCCCTACGACATCGCAATGTTAATTAGACCACATCTTTCATATGCATTTCGGTTAATTTTGGAGTTCTCCTTGACCCTAAGAGAGTACTCTTTACAACCGCTATTTTTGCACGGTCTCCAACGTTTCACTTGCCTTGGCAACAGCGTTAAAGTAGATTTTGGTCGCAGCGAAGCGAAAGGGTATTTGCTAGTTCATATTTAAATATTAGGATGCTTCACCAAAAAAATTGGCGGTTTCACCACCCGAATTATAAGATTTATTATTTTTTTAATTTTGGTCAAAATATTTGGCAAAAGATTTAGATTTACGTGAGCGGTACCGATTTGAAAAAGCCTCCAAAAATCTCATTATTTTGATTCCGTTGATAAAATTTTTAAACATTTTCCACACCTGTAGTGATTTTTTGAAAACTTCTTTTTTAAAGGCAAATTTTATTTATAAAAAACCCCGATTTTGGCACGTATTTCAGAGTAAATCATAATATTTTTCCAACATATTTTGGCAGAAGTCTTAAATTATAACAGCTTTTAGAATTCCGATGGAAAAACAGTACCGATTTTTTTTTTGTATGGAGAGTGAAGAACCTCAACAGATTCTCTGTCCCCACACAGTACATCTTTTTTAGGAAATATGCTAAAGGCAGACATTATGCTTATGAAACAAAACAAATATTTTATTTCTCATTTATGATACATAAGCGTGGGAAATATTTTTCGATAAGGTACGTTCGATGAATTATATACAATCAACAGTTGTTTACTGCATGTTTCCACACAACGCCAAAAACCCTCCACCACCTAAATCCGCCACTGGCCGCTATATATGTAGCGCTTAAAAATATCCCTTAAATTATATGTATGTACATAAATATCGTAGGCCCTCTCCAATAACAACACAAATCTCAAAAAGCAAAACCCTTACTACAGTTAAGGGCCTCATTCTTCTAATTTTTGTATAACTATTACTATATACATATTTTAGTAAGGTTTAGACACGGATTACACAAGGAGTAGAGAAATTAGCCACTTAACAATAGAAGGTTTTTTTTCTCGCAAAGAGAGCAACATAAAAAGCTTTTGAGCGGACACAAATTTTCAAGATTTACTGTAAGCTGGTGTCCACGGTTGCATTTCAAACATAACAAAATTTTATAGAACTTTTAAAATTATCTCAATTGGAAAACAAAGCAGGACCATTACGTATATCTCTTCACTTTGGATAAACTCTAACCTTTTCAAATAACAACAAGTAATTTTTAAGCAAAAAACAAAACCGACTTCAATTCTTATATCGACTGCTCGACTGAAGATCGACCTATCCTTTTCAAGTAAGCCCTATTTCAGAATTTGGTTGAAGAACACCCTATCTCAGCTGCCGATGCAAAAACGCGTTTTCGAACTGGCTGCCAAGATAGGTCGATCTTCCACTCAGCAATCGATATACAAATTTAAGAAGATGCAATGATCGCATCTAAACCAAATTAGCATGGGACCACCTCTGACGTACCATCTTTCCTTAAAAAAAAAAAAGAGTTATAGAAATCGGCCTCCTCCTTTTTTTGACGTCGGCTAAAAAGAAAATGCAAAGATGCAAAGAAGCAATCCGAATTTGCAATATAAATCTGGGATGTTGGGAATATTTGCGTTCGCATTCGTTATGCGAATGATTCGCATCTAACGGTTGAGTAGTATATCAGCAAATTTGTGGTGGGACGGATTTTATAGAAATTGCCTGGTTTTCTGCTAAAGAGATAGAGTATATTCGATTAAGAAAGTCCACGATTTAGCTTTCCCTGATTCCATATATGTATACACATTTGATGTTGCCTTTTTTGCCTTTCCTTCCTTAAAGGGTTGTATGCAGCTCCCAAAAAAAGCAAGAAAAAAGAAGTGGGTAGGAAATTTTCGTGTGTCAAATTTCCTTAAGGCAGAACGCAATTTTTAAGAAATTTGCTACGCTTTCTACTACGGTTTTCTAAAGTTTTTTGTGAAAAAAGAGCACAAGGTAACCCATGTTTGCAACAGGAATATATGCCCCAAGGCACATTAAACAGGTAGTATCAGTAGAGCAAAAACAACATTTGCGTGTATTTTGTTGTTGTTTCTGGTATCGAAAGTGTCAAAAACTGTTCTGAATTTTTTCTTCTAAATCAAAGCGTGCCATGTGAAATACAAAAAATTATAAAAAATAAAAAATTGAAATTGGAAAAAATAAAAATTGATGCAACTTTCTTTCCTAGTAAATTTGTTTGCTTCTCGAAGCATTGATCCATCCTTTGCAAGGCCCAGTAATCAGCGGTCGTGCTGCTGAGTTGGGCGAACGTGGATTTTAACAATTCAGAATTTTTGTGAGAAGAAATTAAAAATATTTGACATTTTCGAGACCAAATAATTTGAAAATAAATCAAATCAGCTGCTCTACTGATACTACCTGTTCAATGTACCTTGATATGCCCGTTCCATTCTGCTTTATCCTGAGTTTCGTCTGAAAATAAAAAATTCACCCGAAAATTTGTCATGCGTCCATGGTAAAACCATGGAAACCAAAAGTGAAAAGTGAACCGGTTCGGGGAAAATGAAACTCATGATAAGGCTGATTATTTCTTAAGGAAAGAGTGCGGCAAGAGAATTTGAAATATCAGATGTCAAAATTTCTTGGACACATACACGAAATAATGAAAATTTTTTTTTGTAAGATTTCTTGAAAGCTGCATACTGGCCTTTAGTTGTAAAGGGCAAGGAAAAAGCCCTTATTCCTGATAATATGAAGGTTTTATACGTTTCATATTTAAATTGGGCGCCACTTGTATCAATTTTCTTCGCGAAAATCGAATTAAAATGCTGCCAGAAAGCTTCAAAATGCATCTTGTGGTTCAATGATACTACAACTATAAAGATTAAAGTTGTGTGAGTTAAAAACTCGAAAAGGGAGTATAGTCAAAGAAGTTCATAGTTTTTCTGTTTTTACTTGTAAAATCAACATTTCTAAAATAAATTTATTTTTTTATTATTTTTCGATTTTTGTCTTTTGTTAGTACCTCCTTTTACCCTTTTTGCACTTTCTAGTGCCTTTTCCTGCCTATTTCGCTATTTTATTTTCCCTTTTTTATAGGTTTTTAGGTCCTAAAAATCCGTTCCCTGCTTTTGCTTATAAGAAATAATTTTAGATTCCTCCAACGAAAGCGAAGGCTCGGATGTAGAATCTAGAGACATTAAAAAATGTGAAATTAAAGCTCAATTGAAGGCCTATCTTAAAGGAAAACGAGCTTATTTCGGTGAAAATTCTCTCGATTGGTGGAAAACTAAACCAAGATACGACAAATTTATAGATCTGGCCCGCAAATATTTTTCAGCGCTCCACCCGCCAGCGTTCCATGGGAGAAATTGTTCAGTGCAGCCGGCATTAAATACGAGCCTATAAGAAATCGCCTCTTGGGAGAACTACTAGATTAAAACACTGTATAGGTTAAGCAAGAACGTTCAATGTTCTGGTAATTTACAAAATTTTTAAGTAATAAAACCAATGACTTAAGTTGATTATAGGTTTTTTAATGTTATTCCTAACATTCGCATTCGCGTTCACATTCGCATTCCGAAAATTCGCATTCGCGAATGTGAAAAATGTGACATTCGAAACAACCCTAATTCAAATGATTGCTGTGTAGTTGGCAACATGTTGCGGGAAAATGTTTCACAACTCAGTCAACTCGAAATATTTGCAACATAAAAAATGAAGCCTAATTTGTATTTGGTCTTTGAAAGCCATATTCTTATTCGATATTATTACACATCCTGGAACGTATATACATAAATAAATGTATGTATACATAACTTATTGATATACACTACACACATACCAGCAATGGGATTTCATACACTTGTATATAAAAATTCTTATGAGCATTTTCTACCGAGAAAATAAAAACAATTGCATTAAATAATTAATGTCAAACTAATGAGTGTCCTCGTCTAGTTTCTGATTTGTGTATCTGCATA